AGCCAGAAGTTCTTTATTTTGATAGACTCTAACCTGATAGTTTTGCTTACATGGTTGGTCCTTTTCGTATGTTTTTCTTACATGGTTAGTCCTTTTCATATGTTTAAAAAGTTGTTGCCTATCCTAGGATCAAAAATATAGACTTCTATATTAACTTCCAGAGGCATTATTGCCTTACCTTTCAAATTTAGGTCTATCAGATTTGGGTTTACCACCAAATTTAGATCTATAAACCATTGATTTTAGGTACAGTGTTAAGTATGGGATCGAGCTTATTATTTTTATACATGAATAGCCAATAACTCAGTGCTATATATTGATTAGGTTGTGACTTCCATTAAAAACTAGTGTCAGCTTTGTATAAATCAAGTTTGTTAGTCTGTTTCTGAACTCTTACTTTCTACTGATTAATTTGTCTGTCTCTGCATGAAATTATACAATTCTAATGGTTTAGTTTCCTAATAAATGTATAAATTCAGTAATTTAAGTCTTTTACCTTTGTTTTTATTTTTCATTTTTTCAAGATTGTCTTGGGTATTCTTGGTCATTTTCATTTACACATATATTTTGAATTGGCTTATCAATCTCTAAAAGAACACTTCTGGGACTTTTTGATGGAATCTCACTCTGTTGCCCAGGGTGTAATACAGTAGCAGGATCTCAGCTCACTGCAACCTCTGCCTCCCAGGTTCAAGCGATTTTTTCACCTTAGCCTCCTGAGTAGCTGGGATTACAGGCACACACCAACATGCCTGGCTAATTTTTGTACTTTTAGTAGAGATGGGGTTTTACCATGTGGGCCAGGCTGGTCTCAAAATCCTGCCCTCAGGTGATCCATCCACCTTGGCTTCCCAAAGTGCTAGAATTACAGGCATAAGTCACTGTGCCTGGCCCACTTCTGGGATTTTGATTGAGGTAGCATTGAGTCTATAGACCAATTTGAGAGAGAACTGGCATATTAACAATATTGAGTCTTATAACCCATTAATATAGTTTTACCTTCATTTCTTAGATATTCTTTAATTTTTTTTCATTGTTATTATGTGGAGTTTATTGTGGAGGGCTTGTAACTCTTACTGGATTTATTTTTACATATTTACTTATTTTTAACACTATTATAAATGGTCTTTTATTTTCATTTTTGAATTGTTTCTATGTAGAAACAAAATTAGTTTTTGAATGTCAAGGCATCTAAAAAACTTATCAATACTAATAGATTATCTGTAGATTCTTTTGTACTTTCTGAGTATGCAATCATGTTTTCCACAAATAATGATGCTCATATTCCTTTATTTTCAATTATTATGATTTTTATTTATTTTTCCATTTTTGCTCTGGCTAGGACCTCACACATAATGTTGATTAGAATTGCTGATAGAGGGCTGCACTAATTTCATTCCCAGTCTCAGGAGATAAGTGTTCAGTATTTCATTATGAAGTATAATTTTTAAGTAGAGTTTTGTTGTTGTTGGTATTCCTTTTCAGATTATGTTTCCTTCTATTTCTAATTTGCTAACAGTTTTTAAAAACATGAATAGGTATAGGTCTAATTTACGTGTTTTCTGGAGTGGAGTTTCTGGAGTTCTAACTGGGAATATGGGGACGTTTTCCTGGGCCACTCCTCTTTGGCAGGCCTTAAATATCAATCCACTTTGAGCAACTTTGTGCTCAAGCCTCTTAGCCTCTTAGGGCTACCCCACTTATGAACTGGTGAATGGCCTGGGAAGATGGTATTACAGAATGCATAGCTGACCTTAGTATGATTCCCTCCTCCTCCACATCAAGGCACCTAAAGTTCTGTTCATTTTGTTTGCACTGTTATACCTTCAAATATGAATTTAATTTTTTTTATTTGGACCCAGCTAGTCATGCTTAGCAGAAGGATTAACATAAGGTAGGCAAATCCCTCGTGGCCTGTAGCAGAAGTCTGAATTTTGTCTTTATTAGTAGTAGTGTCAGATTTTTCTTTCACCTTTATAATTTGTTATTGGTAATATACTTAATAATATTATCAATTTTGGGACTATCTCTCTATAAAGTAGTTTTCATATATAAGCTGTTAGATTTGGAAACATTTTTTTCCACAGACTAGCTCTGGCCCTGTATATTTTGAATATTGCTTCTTTTCCACAACCCACACATTTCGTGTGCTGGATGCCCCAGGACACAGTGACATGATCATCTGACCTCTGGCTCAGCATTTTTGCATCCTGGCCTTGGACAGAGCTGCACAGTAAGTGGTAGGAGTATTCTTGTAAGCTATTTCTACATGGAATTGCTGGCAATGAGTATACATGGGAGTCAGGTCAAACTACATAAAGATATCTCATTAGCTCCAAGCTAGATGGTTCTTCCTCAAGCTCCTCTTAGCTAGCTCCCAAAATTCTTGTATCCATTTCAAAGCTGCCTAGTACAAGAAGGATGATGAGGGGAATAGGAGCAGAAAGAGAGAGAAGTCTTAATGTGTGCTTTCTCAATGGGGTGGTATCACTCAGGATGCACAGATTTTAGGGGGTGGAATTGTACTCATTTAAAAATATATAAAGCACAAACATATAGAGAATACATAAACAAATATATCACTCATGGGTGGTATTAAAAATTCATGGGGAGGGCGATTAGAAAAGAAATATGTCTAAAAAGCTTTTTTGGGGAGTCGTAACTTTAAAAATGTTAAGAAGCACTATTTTAATCATTTGAGGTGAATCTGTCTTACTTTACAAACTTTTTTGAGGTATATGGCCATGTGAACCCATTGCTCAGGCTTTTATTGGCATCTTCGGAAGGACTGAAGCAAATGAGGACTCCTCATGGTAAACCCATCACAAACACAAACTGCAGCAGGACTTCTGAACCACGAGAAGCTCACGTTGCTATTCCCCAGCTTGAGGATTTCAATCGGGAAAAATACAATATAAGATAAAAACACCCATAGCAATTTTTCTTCAGTGGCACTACCCTTCATGCCTGTCTCCAAATGCAGGCTGAAGGGAATTTCTCAAATGAGTGAGCTGGAGAGTGGAGAAAGAGGGAGTACTGAACCACAGGATGAGAAGAGAGGGGCTACAGCCTAAGCTCAGACTGTAGTCTGTCAACTTGCCTGAAAAGATGTACCGCTGGATAAGTGAGGCACATGCTTACTTACACAGCTGCTCAAGCATGTATGACAAGACGGAGGGTATATCAAGGCCGCAGAAATTTTGTTACACATGGCACTGAGCTTCCCCTAATCTTTTTTGTACAAGCATCTCTTGCATCTCTCTCTAGTGCCTTTTGCCTGTTTCCATGTTACTATTCTTCAAGACCTAGGTCTGTTCTTTCACGTATTAGTCTTGCCTTATTCTCCAATATGGGTCCTGGAGTGGTCAGGCTATTCAGTATTATAATTCGTTTTTTTTTTTTTTCCTTTGAGATAGAGTCTCTCTCTACCTCCCAGGCTGGGGTGCAGTGGCATGATCTTGGCTACTGCAACCTCCGCCTCCCAGGTTCAAGCGATTCTCGTACCTTAGCCTCCCGAGTAGCTGAAATTACAGTTGTGTACCACCACACTCAGTTAATTTTGTATTTTTAGTAGAGATAGGGTTTTGCCATGTTGGCCAGGCTGGTCTCAAACTCCTGAGCTCAGGTTATCCACCCGTCTTGGCCCCCCAAAGTGCTGGGATTACAGGGATGAGCTACTGCGCCCAACCTCTATTTTTTTTTTTTTTTTTTTT